ATGGCTTTAAACTAAAGGGGGGTAGATTTAGACTAGATAAAAGGAAGAAATTTTTTACGCTGAGGGTGGTGAAGCACTGGCCCAGGTTGCCCAGAGAGGTGGTGGATGCCCCATCCCTGGAAACATTCCAGGTCAGGCTGGACGGGGCTCTGAGCAACCTGATCTAGTTGAAGATGTCCCTGCCCACAGCAGGGGGGTTGGACTAGGTGACCTTTAGAGGTCCCTTCCAACCCAAACTATTCTATGATTCTATGATTCTAAGATGGTAAATAGAGCTATAGGGCTGAAAGGTATTACCTTCATGGTCTGCTCTGCATTGATATTTCTGGGGTGATGGCAGCTGGGGATACCCTAGATGTGTGGAACACTTGATGTTATCAGGAAGATAAGGGACATGTCAGGAGTTGGTGAGTTGATGCGGAGACAGGCTTTCCTGTGCATCTGGCAGGACCAAGCCAGATCTGTGGGGATCTGTAGGCTAGCAGGGAAAATTTGCTTTCGTTTCCATGAGGGTGAGTTGTGCCATCTCCAAGAGAACTGAGCGGCTGCTGGGATGTGTGCATCACCCTCCGCTTTAATGGCCGTTTCCATGATGGACAGTCATTTGGCTTTGTGTGAGAATCCCCAGGCTCAAGTGGGTGGCGAGAACATCTCTCAGGCTTCCACTGGGCAAACTGCTGCTTCTTTAACAAAGGCCCTTTGTCATTCTTGGGCATCTTTTACATTTCTTCTTGGAGATACATCAGGCATCTCCTTCCTGGTTTTCAAGTTTATTGTTTCAGCATTGGCCTGGCTTTGTGCCCTCGGTAACTCTGCTTGTTGCTCTTCCAGTGATGTCAGGAAGAGTTTTTTTATTGACTTCAGTGGGAACTGGATTAGATCTGCGCTGACCACTTTTGAGAGGCCCATGCAGAGAGCTCAGTCTAGATAGCAGAGCAGGGGAGCCTTGCCTGCTCATCACATCCAGCTTTGTTCTTTGTCAAATTTAATTAACTGAGCCATACAATATTTTGCATTTTCTCCTTCTGAAGCAATGCAGAAGTCCTGCCTTACTTGGACAGTGGGTCTCCGCATGCTAGTGTCCTGGTTTCGGCAGGGATAGAGTTAATTTCCTTTCTAGTAGCTGGTACAGTGTTTTGGATTTAGGATGAGAACAAAGTTGATAACGCACCGATGTTTTAGTTGTTGCTAGGTAATGCTTACACTAGCCAAGGACTTCTTAGTTTCCCATGCTCTACCGACTGAGAAGGCTGGAGGTGCACAAGAAGCTGGGAGGG